TTTTTTTCTGCGTTCGCACGATTGCTCATTCTCTCGTTTTTTTTTCTCCCTTGTTTCAATACCAAAAAGAAAACGAAAAAGAAATTATACCATTCTTGAAAGCTTTACCAACAGCCTTCAGTTTTTTTTTAAGGTGCACAATTTCGTCTTAAGTGTTCTATCGATTGTTTAAAAACATACACTTCCAGTCAATTCAAAAAAAAAAGGAGTGTTGTTTTCTTTCTTCAAACTTTACTAAACGATTTGTAATCATACACTACCAACAAAGTTATTCGTTTTACGATCGTTCACTGCCATGAAACGACTAATCATACGACATCAATTGTAATGTTTGAGAAGACGGTAAAAAAATGCATTATAGAAAAATATACGAAGCTGATCAGTGTGAATGACAGATTTTTTAAGACAACAAAATCAGGCTTTGTTTTTTTTGTTCTGTCAAAAAATAACAATGCGTATTACTTATATTCAAGGACATAAATTATCGATTACAGAATCGCTGCTGGAGAAACCATAAATGAAATTCTGTTTTGCTTTAAGCAATCTATTATGTTCGTATTTATGTGTGTATGTGTATGTGTACTTCAACGCACAGAGAACAAAAAGACTCTTGTTACATACACATGTTGTGACTGCATAATAATTGCGCAGATTAAGAAAAATTATTATTATTTTATAGCTTCAATCAATCTAAGATAATCTCTAAATCTATGAGTAAATTGTAACGTATTTGTACAATTAGTGTTGTCGAATATATACACTATAACTTTTGTTCCAATCGAATGATTGTAAAATGGTTTTTGTTTAATTTTATACTCCTCATCGTCTTCCAAATATTTACAATAAATTTTATGTTTCTATCTTGTATCATTTTTAAGTTACAGTGTTAACAGTTAGAAAAAAATGACATTTTTAAATGAGACATATGTAAAGGAGAGGGTTGCCTGAGAAAAGGAAATTTAGATAGACTATTTTGTAGCTTGAATATCATGCTATTGAATCATGTGATTCATTGGTCTCTACATCTTTCTGTTTGTATACATCTGCTCTTGACATTCGATGACGGACATTTTTTTAGTACAGTGACACAAAACCATAGTCCCTGTAGGCTAGGAAAAACTTGAATAGAAACTAATATACCAAATAATAGAGAATCTTGTCATATACATATGTTTTCCTTTTCTTATTTCGATATTACAAAAAAATGAATCGAAGTGCTGAAAACATAGTGTATTTATTCATTTTGTACAATAACATTTTGAAACTTGTTTGGTCTATAATTCATGAACAATTGTTCCGATTTCATTCAAACTTTCAGATTAAACAGAGCTAAAAAAAGTTATAGTCATGAAAACAATTTCAATCTTGTAGCTTTTATTGTTCTGAATATATTCAAATTATATCATAAAATGTATAGTGATGTTTTTTCTGCAGATATTTTCAGTTAAACCAAGTCAAAAATATTTCTTTTCAGCTATAATTTAACTCAGAAAAATTCAATGAACAAATCCGAATGTATTGTGAGTTATTCTTGACTATTTCCTTCCCATGCAAAGCTATAAAAATGACTCAAATCTTTTCATAAAATAAAACCAATTTAATCATTGAATTAAGCAACAAATTGAACCTTATACCGTGTATCTCGCTTCCTATTCAATGAAGTGTTGGGAAAATTTTACTGTAATACATAAACATAAAGTATAATCAGATGTGCTACTCAGACACTGTTTACGACTATTTTTATTTTTTTCGGTACCATTTATACTAAAAAATCGTAAATCATTCATATATAAATAGTGTGAACCAAAATTATTCAACAAGGTATTTTTTTTTGCGTTGTCGTAAGCGCTAGAAAGAACCCAAATGGTTAAAAAAATCGAAACGGTAGCTTTTCAAGATCTAAAATGCGTAAATATAATCTTTTATAGACTACATTGTATGATAGAGCGAACAATTCTATATAAAATGAGATTTCTCTGAGTTTTCTGCAAAATTTTTTAGCTGAGATACAGTAATTCGAGTGAAGGTCAAAGAAATGATTTTTCGATAGGAAATAGTAAAAAACTTTGCAAAAAAAAACTCAGAGACATTTCATTTTGTAGAGAATTGTTTGCTCTATCGTTCTGTGTAATCTAAACAACAATGTATTTATGCATTCTAGATACTAAAAACCTAAGGTTTTGGTTTTCTGAAGTTTTCATCTTTGAAAAATTTGATAATAATTTTTATTTTCTTATATTTTTTTGGGAACGGTTTTCTCTACCCAAGTTACTATTTGGAATCTTTCTGACACTTACAACAGCGGAAAAAATTTGAAAATAAACCTTTACTCATTGTAAGAAAATGAATTTTCTTATTTTATTTTGCTAACAAAAGAAAAAATATATAATTTTTTGGACTAAAATATAAAGTTGTTCTTTTATTTGATGATTATTAACATTTGAAATCATTTTATGCTAATTTACCAAATATTTAATGGAATGTTCAGATTTTTGAAAAAGGAAATTTTTGAAATTACTAACACGCAAAAAGATTATTTGTAGCAAGTTTCGGTAATTACTACGGCATATGAAGACATTTCTTAGGAAAATTTTGGTAATTACCAACATATCAGAAGATAATTTCTAGGAAAATCCTCTAATTACAAATTCATGAGAAAGTATGTTCGAGAAACATTGGAAATTTTGATAGTTTTGTCGATGAGTTTCTATAGTTCTATAGACTCATAACTTCATTAATCTATATGAATGCTAAATAAATTTTCGTCATTAACGGAATTATCGGAAACTCTTATACCTATTTTTTTGCAAGTGAGCTTCTATACTATTTTATAAAGTAAGAACTAAATGTATCCATATTGATATTAAAGGTATCTTAGAAATTTCTCGAGAATTGCTATAATCTTCTGTACAATTTCCTTAGAGTTTCTTTCTTATGAGTCTGCAATTATCGAAATTTCATAGAAACTTCCTGTTGATGTCTTAGTAATTTCCTTTTTTTTTTAGAAATCTGAACACTGCTATTTTAAACCTTATTGAAATTGACTAACACATCCTTTTAACTTTTGTTTACATTGAAGTTTGTATATAGTAATTAGTTGATCATCATACTAGGAATGAATATTTCATATAAATGTGCTTAGACTATTTGTACAAGATTTCCAATTGCGAACAAGAAATTCAGCTTTGTATGCAACAAGAAAGTAAAAGTTTTGATCGAATGAAATATCATCAATGATTGACTGTAGCACTATGTATAATTATATTCAAAATAACACTGATTATAGTCGTTTAAATGTACATAATTGCTTCTTATATCTAATAATGATTCAAGATGTTTTGTTTTCTGAAGTAAGATATAATAATAAACTTTGTAAAATATGGTTGTGATATGAATTAAGAATATTAGTAATTATATTATTTGTATACTAGCCTTGAGAGAAAGAAAGGATTTTAGGATTTGTTATTCTAACTCGATTGAACTTTGTTTTTTTGTTGTAATAGATAGATTACTGATTAATGCTAAAATAATATTATTTTTTTTTCGAAAAAATGACTTTTCATTAGGTTATTCGTTCTATTATCAATGTTATTGGTTATCAAGCAGTTTTTAAAACTAATAGTCTAATCAAATGTCATCTTTAATTAAATAAAATATATTTCTGATAGAGTCTTTTTCTATAATAAAACTGAGACCATCATGCCTTTCTTGTTCCCTACGATCAATACTGTCGGTTCGATGGTGTAGCGGTTATCACGTCTGCTTTACACGCAGAAGGTCGCGAGTTCAAACCTCGCTCGAACCTTTCTTTTTTTTTAATATATTTTATGTATATATTCAACGCAAGATTTCATTTTTACATAGTGAAGGCAAAAAAGAAACTGTTGTCTGTATTCCAATTAGATTAGATTATTTGTCTAGGTCAAGCTTGGAAAGTATACGCCCATGCTCACATACATATCATCATCTAGATTATCATGTAGAACAAAAAAGGAGGAGTAGAAAAAAGATGAATAGAGTCATCATAGAAAGAGAAACCTTGGAAAAAAGGTATATACTCCCAAAAGAATTATCAATCAATAATAGTTAGAAAAAGAATGGTTGCTTGAGTTCTAGAAATGAAGAAAAGGAAGTTAAGAGTAACAATCACTGTATTCATCATTGCAGTGGTGATTAACATGCTGATTCATTTTCCAACAGATTGTAGTCATGCGTAATAATGTTAACTTGCCTATCTGTCATATTTTCTTTTTTCTTCAAAGTATTATTTTGTCAAAAAGAGAAAAGTTTCAACAACACAAAGAACAAAGATTGACATATCATTCTTTCTTTCGCATCATCTGAGTTTAGGTCTTAAAATGCATTCTTTTAAAACCTTTATGATAGTTGACATAATAGCATTAATTATGTTCATTGTATTTCCTATACGATCAATGCCAACAGATGATGATTTGAATAAATTACCAGTACATCTGAAACGATGGACATTCAATACTTGGCGTTTACATGGTCGTCGACAATTATCGAATGGTTTGCCTTTTATTTTCTTTTTTTGTAAAAGCAATGTCTTTATATGTTTATTAATTTTACTATAGATTTTTATTCACCAACGACATCGTTAATACCATTCCTTGACGATTATCAATATGAAGTTCCCAATGGTGAAGAAGATGATGCACGTAAAGCACATGAACATATATCACAATTTTTTCGAGAATCAAATCGTGAATAGAAAAGAAAAATATACTCAGTTTATAAAAAAGAAAGTTCTATTTGTGTTTTTGGATGATGTAATAAATATTGAAGACTTATAGTTTTCGATTTTTCATTTTATTTTGGCATCAATTAGTATTTCTCACAGTATATCAGATGATAAGTCAAATTGACCAAGAAGAAAAATGAAAACTTTTGATTATAATTTTATAAGATATCATTCATTCCTTCAAGAAGTAAGATGTTGATTTCAGATATCGTTGTGCCATTTTACCAAAAGTTAAATGAACAAAATTACTAAGCACAAAATATGATCCCGGAAAAAAAAGAACTTTTTTTTCTTGCGAACTTATTTCGAATTTTCATTCAATTCATAAATATTATTTAGATCAAAATATGACAAAATAAAACGTAAATGACTAATCAATATGTTATTATATGAAAATAGTAACCAATCATGATCAATGTGAAAGAGTTGTGTAGATGATAATAACGTCATCAATCAATTATTTGTGTTCATCCATTCAAAGAATTTTATAATAAATAAACTTGATCTTCAACTATTCATTCCTGAAAAAAAAACAACCCATATTAATAGTAATTACCACTAGATGAAACGGAAGGATAAAAATACTTTTGTGGAACTCACATATTTTCGAAGAAAATAGTGAATGTAAGTTTTGCGGTTCAAGTTTTTGCAACTCCCCCCACCTCCTCCCCTTTACAGACACTTAGCAACGGAGGCCCCATTACAGATCTTAGTAATTAAGAATAACAGGCGTCAAACTTTCTATTTTTTTTGAAAAA